GGTGGCGTAGAAGGCCAGGCTGCGCTCGTTCAGCTTCATGGCGGCCGGACCTGTGCCCATCGGAACCGCGGTCAGTTACCAGCCACCATCGGAACCGCGGTCAGTTACCAGCCACCGGCACCGGGCCAGCCAGCGCCAACCTCCGACCACAGACACCCACAGCGCTCAACATCCCCATTCACAGATGAGGAAACTGAGGCTCAGAGTGGACGCCGCCTGCCCAGGCTCCAGGCAGGACTCGAACCTGGGTCTGACCAGCCCCACGGGCCAGCTTCACGACCCCCCTGCCCTCCTCCTTCCCCGGAATGATGCGAGGGGTTCTGCTGCGTGCCGAGCGTTCGGTGTTTATTAACTCATTTAACTCAGCACACACTAGGCAGGGACTAACTCGTATCGCTCTTGTTTGGCAGATGAGGAAATGGAGGCAGAGAGGTTAGCCACACGCCCAGAGTCTCGAAGTGAGCTGGGCTGAGCTGAAATGCAAGCGCAGGCCTCATTTCAGGCATTGCTGTTACCACGTCCCTGGGACGAGGCCAGCTGACCTCGTGCGGTCCTTTCCAGGTCCCGGCCCTGATCTCAGGACTCGGCCTCAGTGTGTCCACCCACAGCACAGACAGGAACAGCCTGCTTCGCACAAGGGAGTAATGTTGCTCCTCAAGTATTAATTAAGCCCCTGTCGCGTGCCAGGTGTTGTTCGAGGCACCAGCAGTAAACGTGATGGACAGGTCCCACCCTCGTGATGCCGTCGTACTAGTGGCCAGTGACGGGGGTGGACAGGAACGCACACAGATAAAACGTCTGCCACGTGGGTTTGCGTGCTATGGGAACACACGGGACAGGAGTCAGGAGTGTTGGGGATGAGAGAACATTTGATTTTCACAGGGTGGTCAGAGGGAGCCAGACTGGACAGTGACATATGAGCAGAGACGTGAGGGAGGTGAGGGAAGGAGCCAGGGGACAGCTGAGAAAGGGCAGGCCTGGCAGAGGGGGCAGCCAGTGCAAAGGCCCTGAGGCAGACCGCCAGGAAGCCGTGGGGCTGAAGAGAGTGGAGTGGGGAGGGACTGTCAGGAAACCGGGTGGATGAAGCTGTGAGCCCGGACTGCAGGAGGGAGGAGCAGGGAGCCCCGGACGACAGAGAGGAATCCACACACGCGGCAGCAGTGGTTCGGCCAGCCTTCCTCCAAGGGGCAGCACTGGCCAAGGAGGACTTATCTGAGACAGCCCTGGGTCCCCAGCACAGCCACACCTCCCCTGGGTGCCCCACGGCCGCCCTGAAGACCTGCCTCGTGCTCTGGCAACTATTAATACATCTTCCAAGAGGCAAGGTACGGAAAGCTCGTGTAGCGTGCCTTCCCCTGCCTGGCTGGTGCCTTAGTCGAGGCCTGGAGGAAGGTCTGGGGATGCGGGGTGGAGGGGCGATTGCTCCCAACCACATTCCCAGTCTCTGTCACGTCCTGCCATGCACCCAGGCAGTCCAGAAAGGCTTCCTAGAAAAGGCAGCATGAGTTGTCTTAGAAGCCAGATAGCCTGTCCTGACCTAGCACCGGGCCCAAGGCCAGAGCCCGACTGCCTCCTTGAGCTGTGTGACTCAGGCAGGCTGTCGCTCGCTCGCCGGACCTCGGTTTTTCTCTGTAAAACTCATACGTCCCCCCAGCCCCAAGCAGCTCCCATTTCTCACAGGGACCTCCCACCCAGCTCACCCTGCTTCCCTCCTACCTCTCACCTCCCTGCCCTCTGCTCGGCTCTGGTCTTGCTTGGCTCACTCTTCTCTGGGCTCAAACATCAGCTCTGCAGTATCCAGCCTGGGTGGCCCCCGGCAAGCCCTTAGCCTCTCCAGGCCGCTGTTTCTGCACCTGTAAGTGGGTCGTAAGGCCTGGGTCAGGGTGGGTCGCCATGATGACGAGAGTGACGAAGGCACCGAGCACCGTGCAGGGCAGACAGCACAAGCGCTGCAGTGCCAGCCGCTGGCCTTCTTCCTGGCCTCCCAAACAGTGTTCCCCATCTCAGCAAGTGGCCCCTGGGCCCCCATCTCCCACCTCTGATCATCCCCAAGTCCAGCCTCTCCCAGACCAGTGGCCTGATCTGTTTACCCCATTCCCCGCCCACCCACCCACTGCTTGCTGGGATGGCTGCAGTAGCCTCTTCACCAGTCTCTGCCTCTAGCCTGGTACCCTCCCTGCCCCGGGACCTCAGGGTAAGATCCAAGCCTCCTTCCCAGACCCCTCCCCAGCCCCACTAAAACCCACTCTCCACGGAGGGATCCTGTTCAAACAAGTCCACACGCACACCGCCCCTGCTCTGAGCCCTCCCATGGCTCTGCTTCTCAGTAAAAAACCCAATCCTCTCCAAGGCTTCCAAGGCCCCTCCCCTGTCCCATCCCCGGGCCACTCAACTCAGCCACTCTGGCTTCTTTTCTGTTCCTCAGGCACACCAGGCCCCTCCACCTCAGGGCCTGGGCTGTTCTCTCTCCCTGGAAGGCCCTTATCTCCACCCAGCCAACTCTTCCTCTGGGCAGAAGCCCCCGACCACCCCATGCACAGGGACCCTGCTCCTGTACCGCAACCCAAAACTACCTGGTCATGTTGCCAGTTCCAGGACAGGGGTTTTGTCTGAATTCCAGCGTCAGGCACGTAGTAGGTGCTTGCAACCCTGCAGAAGGAGCCAGTCCGTTATCTTCCTAGACCGCTCAGCAGCCCCACGCCCAAAGATGCTAGCACTGAGACACAGAGAAGTTAAGGAGCCTGCCCAAAGCCACAATGCAGCACCCAAAATCACTTGCTCTGGGAAAACAGCCCCACGGGGGACTGATGTTGGGGTTTCGCACCCCATTACTAAGGGAGTGCAGCTCCACTGGAGCTCAGCAGCCCTGCTCCCCCACCCCTGCACAGATGGGGTCAACCTGTCCCAAGATCACTGGCCACTACAGGCCCCTGCTCTGCCCACAGCCTTTGCCGTCTCCAGCTGGGCACAAAAAGGGAGAACAGGAAGCCGGGGCTCAGGGTCCAGCCCAGCCTTGCGGAGGGCCTGGTCCTGGCTTATCTCCCCATGCTGTTTTCCTAGGAGTTCAGAGTCCTCTGTGGGCCCGCTGCTGATTCAACAGCCAGTGGCCAGGCAGGAAGCTGGAGGGCCTGAACTGCCTCCTCTCCCAGGGCCCAGTTCCTGCTCCACCAGCCCACGCTAGAGGACCCTGGACAAGTCCCCGTTCCAAGCCTTTTCCTCATCTGTGAAGTGGGCTGCAGAGAGGTTCCCAGCAAGATAGGGAAACTGGCCAGCAGACCATAGGAAAGCATTACAAACACCGGCTTTTGTGCACCCATCACTAAACCGGGCATGTTTATCCATCTCCCTGGGAAGGGCTGAATTAATTCATCAAGAGTCAGCCGCAAAGTGGTTGGTGGGTAGGGAGGCATTTGGGGAAGAACAGTCAAAGAGGCAAATAATTAGCCCCAGGTCTCCAGGGCCACAGCAGCCCAGAGCCAGGACTCTAGGGAAGCTGAGGCATGGCACCTCGGCACTCACTCCAAGGGAAGAAGCCAGAATCCAGCCGCCCCGAGTGTCCCCGAGCGGTGGGCGTGGGGGAGAGGGTGTGGCGGGCACCGGCTGAAAAACGCTGAGCTGGGGACCGAGCGCGCCGCCCCGCACGGACAGCGGGCAGTGCGGGCACCGGCCGCAGCGACACCGGGGCCGGCCCAAGGCCCTCGCCCCTCGAGGGGCTGGGTGTCCAGGTGTGGCCTGCTCCCAGCTGCTCTCTGTCCCTGTGCGTGCGCGGGACCTCGCCTGCGCTCCTTCAAGGGCAGCCAGGGCCGCAGACGGGGTGCCCGACCGCAGAGCTGGGGTGCCAAAGGAAGGCGGTCCGCAGGGTACCTCCAGCCACGGACGCCCCTTACAGAGCGGGGCTCGGCGGGCC